TTTCAGGATAACAATTGACTTGACTTTGCATGTGTTTGTAATAGAAGGCACCGGTGCGGCAGGATACGCTCACCTTTTCCCGAACACCCGGTATCACCATTTGATAGTGAACACATCCTCATGACTCAGCATATATAATGCAATTAACTTTTACATTCAAACAACTCTGCTTTTAGCAGAGATTTCTTGTGTCTATGGAAAGGGTTTTGTCGCTTTTTTTCAAGGTGTCTATCAGTTAATGATTAGAATGGAACATTACATGGACTGGACTGGATATACAGAGAAATGTTTGTTTTAAAAAAAAAAAATTGCTGTACGTGTATGTCTCAGTCAGCAGGAAATAAACGAATAGCTGTATCAAGGCAGTTAATAGGCTCCGTAACACTGGACATGTCTCTAATACATTGGAAGAATAAGGAAAACAAGGAGACTTTTTTGTATATTTTATTACATATCAGAAGACACAATGGTGCAAAAACAATAAATAGTTGATTGATCCTCTGCCTCAAAGTTTGTTTGCCACTGAAATAAGGAAAGCATAGAGTTAATATCAACATAATATTCTAAATTATACAACATGTTTCATCCAAAGATATATGAATGGTATGACTTCTAACAGATGTATTACGTTGTTGATACCATTTAAAGTCACTATTTAATATAACTTGGTAGCTCCTTTTCTCCATGCTTTGCAATATTTACAACACCTTACTGGTTATTTCTCAAAAGGTAGAATCGTCCTGATTACTTACATGTCAGGTCCAAATCCACGTCCACAGAGACAGTGCCCATCGTAGTAGTGGTGTGAAGCACGGCTGTCTCTACATCTGCAGCTGTCGCAGTCGACACGGGCGCTGCATGTGGCTCAAAAAAGGCAAATCGTACTCTCATCTGATGATAAAATGTCAGTTATACTATAAAAGAAAATACGGAATAACAAGAGTCATCAGGATGTGGCACATCTGGTGCAATTCGGAAATGGCGTTTGGCTTCAGTTCAGTGGAAGAAAAATAATGCTGTTCAGTATTTTTTTCAATATACATATCATCAAAAGGCACCGCTTCAACACTAGACTGATCTGTATAACAATTTTCATTAATAAATATTCAATGGTATGCTCCGGAAACGTTATCATGTCGTCATGAAACTATAAAAAAATAAAAACATAAAAATCCCAAATCATCACAAAGCACCAGTTCATCACTATATTGATCTGTATAGCAAGTTCAACAAAAAATATTAACCGTTTTAGAGTTCTGCTACGGACACGGAACGGACGGACGGACATGCTGATCGCTATATCTCCACTTTTTTTTTCAAACCGATGCAATAAAAAGTACAAGAATGCTTTCAGTTAAACCATTCACATCTCACTCAAATTGGAGTCACTGCCAATGATAATAAATGCACTTAGTTAACTTGAGACCTGCATATTATGCCAGATATCATAATATCAGATCTGCCATCGCTGTTATTCTATGACAGTACAAGAAGAAAAGACAACACACATCACGGACAAGATGCATCCTTCAACACAGAAATCAGAATAGTCAATTTTCCATCTTATATTCATTCTACATGCTTTCTTTGTGGGGCGGGGTGAGGTGAAATGAGATTTAACGTCGCGTTCAGGATAATTGCACTAATATAGCAACGTGCCTGCACGTGTGTGTGTATGTGTGGCTGCTAGTACCCGTCCGTACTAATGCCGATTTTATTGAGCTAGCCCACAGACATACCATGCTCCAGTGTAACATGAATACCCACTCATACACAGTATACTGACTACGAGCCGACCAGTCCTTGTTTTAGCCTCTAAATGCCGAGCGTCAGGCAGGGTAACAACAACGTCTTTTGACGTCTTTTGGTGTGAAGCGGTATCGAACGCCCGACCGTTCGCTCTCAATGCAAACGCTCTGCCACTAGACCAAGGAGGCGGTGCTTTCTTTGTGTAACAATTGATCACAGACTTAAAAGGTATTGAGAGCTGTACATATGCTTCAAACCTGTTTCTTAATTATGCATTGTAACATTTCACTTAAACATGCACTTAGCATCTCGAGAAAAAATAAGACGAGAATCATGTTTAGTTACCTAAGCAGCTATGAGAAAAAATGCCACTTATTGTAAACACTATGTATAAACTTTATCATACCTTGAGCGCAGGAACCAGCAGTGGCGGAAGTCAGGCAGGTACATCCTCCATGAGAGCAGCCCAACTTTTAGGAACTGTCACATGTCACGTGATTACAGTCTTTCTGATCCCTGCAGGTCTCGCTGTAGATAACAGCTGAAAGGGAAACAGTGCACATTGAAAACGTCTGGCAAGGTTAGCGTTGTTTTGAACTGTATGGTTCAAATAGGTTTCAGATTAACTTACATTTGAACAAGGTCATACTATGTATGTATAGAGAACAACAAAAGTTCCTGTGACATTGATTAAGATTTCATTCAAAGTTATGTTTGTTTTACCAAATCTGAAACAATTTCGGTTTGCAACAGATAAAAGACTCCTGTAAATGTTCAAATGGTTTAATTTGCCATACTGACTTCAGAAAAAAAACAAAAAACATGAACATGCCAAAATGTCAATTTACAAATCAATAGCGTGTGTGTCCACCTCTGGTTGCGATGCAAGCAACACATCTTCGTCTCATGGAATGGACCAGGCGTCGCACAAAGTCCATTGGGATATCTGTCCATATCTGCTGGAGCATGTTTCGAAGTTCCTGGAGTGTCTGTGGAACACGTGGTTGACGTCGAAGGCGTCGATCCATCTCATCCCCCATGTGCTCGATTGGTGAGAGATCAGGGGAGCGATCCGGCCAGGGGATGACATTCACGTTGTTTTGTTGAACGGAGTCCTGAACAAGTCGAGCAATATGAGGCCGGGCGTTGTCATGTTGAAAGGTAATGCCTGGGCCATGACGACGCAAAAACGGTAGAACAACAGGGCCTATGATCTCGTCGCGGTAGCGCTGTCCAATGAGATTTCCCTCTACCACTATCAAACGGGTCCTCTGTCTTGCTGTAATCCCACCCCATACCATAACGCTGCCGCCGCTGAACCGATCTTCTTCCATGACACGATGATTGACGTAACGTTCGCCTCGACGTCGGTACACTCGAATCCGATCTTCGCTGTGGCTGAGGTGAAAACGAGACTCGTCAGTGAATAGAATCTGTCCCCACTGCATGGCCGTCCAGCGTATGCGCTGTCTGCACCACTGTAGATGTCTTGACGGTGGTTTCCTGTCAAAATGGGACGTCTGGCGGGTCTTCTGGCGACAATCCCTGCACATCTGAGGCGACGACGTACGGTTTGTGAAGATATTCGTCGAAGGCCAGGGATGCTTCTTGCAGTCACTGTTGCTGGCTGAATCGATTGCGTAGGTTGTCTTGTCGATTATTGGTTATGCGTGGCCTGCCACTCCGAGGATGGTCTCTGACTGCATTCGTCTGTTGCCAACGTTGCCATAAACACCAAATGGCGTTTCTGTGGACGTTAAATTGTCTTGCAGCATCACGTTGACTCGACCCTGCTTCAAGTATACCAATGGATCGAAGACGCTCATTTTCGGACAGGCGTGGCATTTCGAAATGTTGAATAATTGCGTAATTTTGTTGTTTTTCTGAGTGATTGTTGTCAGCATGATGCTAAACAATGCATATGGATTCCCGTTAACGCACGTTTTTATACCCATTCTTCGGTAGTGAAATGCATGGGGCTTGCATAAAAGTCGACTTTTGCATGGAATGCATGCTTTTCTGTAGCAGTTGCGTTTTTGTGACTTGTTTCCATACATGTACTACAATATTGAAAACCAAACTTTACTTGTTTGAAATATACACTAAAATATTGGTGTCACAGGAACTTTCGTTGTTGAGTATATTATGTGCTGAAAAGCTAAAACCTGACAATTTCAGAAATTTACCAGATTCCATCCAGTTGTTTTCGGGTCAACTAATAATATTGCTGACCAAATAATTCCTATGTCCTCTAAAAATATTCGTCAACAATGGTTTAATAACGACTGCAAACATGCAAGAAAGTGTAGGAAGAAAGCGGGAAAAGATTTCCGCAAACATCCTACAGTTCATAACTTTAATAATGTTACAGTTATTTTTGACAAGGCACGACGTGATTATGAACAAAATGAGCGCCAATCTTGGAGAAACTATGTCTCCAAAATTATTTCACGCACACCTATGTCCAAGGTTAAATAAATAAAAGACAAAGGGTACAAATCGTCCGTATCCCACCTTTAAGACTTTGAGAAATTGATAACTGATAAATCTGACATTGCAAATAAACTTGAGCGAAACTGAAGATAATAATGTATTATAAGTATTTCCATTACATGAGCGTCATACTGCTCTTACTGCAGCGGGTGATGATAATATCCACCATCAGTTACTGAAGCATTTGCCTTGAATCATGTCTTGAGACAGTTTTATATGAATATTTGACCACAGATGGACGTCAGGGAATTTACTTCCTCGTGGCAAAATGCCATTGTAGTCCCCACACCAAGATCCTACTGATGCTTCCAATTACCACCATATATCTGTAACCAGTTGCGTTTGCAAAACCATGGAACGAATGGAAAACAATAGATTAGTTTGGTATTTGGAAACCGATAATCTTATTACAAATATTCAATGTGTTTTCTGGGAATAAAAAGAAGTAATATTGATCATTTTTTTAATGATTAGAATCCTTTGTTAAAATGATACAGTAAATAAACAACGCGAAGTATCAATTTTCTTTGATCTTGAGAAAGATTGCGATACTACCAATCATGAATCCAAAAATGAATAAATGCATATACATTCGTAAGGGTTAAGATGAGGTTGGCAACATAGAAACAATCTCGGCCTACATTAGGGGAAAGTGTAAAAATAAATACTTTGTGGAATTCGGAAAGTGTCATCTGTTTTAGACAACGCGCTTAAGATAATTTATGGGTGCAGGCATTGTGCAGTATAAAAGGCGTGTCCCTGGTCACAATGTTCAGATCAAAATCGTTTCCGTAAACCATGAAGTACATATTAATCCTCGATGTATCAGCAGTTGCTGTCGGTGAGTATGACAGTCATCTGCATCAGCAACGCCGTCAGGGAACAGTATTTTGTTGTTTCACGACCTCTGCAATATTCCATCTTCAATGTTTATGACGGCGGCCTGTAGAGAAGCTTGTCATGTTTTGAGCAATGTCCCACCCTTGGCGAAACTACCATAGTAGCAGAAAAGCGGTTGAGTACACCTAAAAAGCACATTTTATCAAAGATAAGTAAACCTCGATTTACCATCTATGCAGTAAATTTTTAATTCAAACACTACACGGTCGAACATGATATTTATTGTCTAATTTGAAAATCGGAATCTTGCATTGAGGTATCAGTAATGAAGTAACGAAACCTTTAGGAAATAATATGAAGAAATACTAGTAAGTATAGTTATGTGAAAATTTCACATAAACATACTTGCTAGTATTTCCCTCAGGCGAGCAGAGAGTCCTTGAAAGTAAGTGTTTCACAATATATACAGTGAGCTACGTTTATAACGAACTGACGGATATAACGAACTTACTTTTTTGTCCCGACTATTTGTTGTAGTTATGCTGTATATATTCTAATAACGAACTACGGTTATAACGAACTAAAATTAGTAGTCCAGTTGAGTTCGTTATAATCGTAGTTTACTGTACTTACTTTGTGACGTAAAAAACGTCACTTTCACAATTATTTTCATTATTATGATAGGACGGCTCGCGTTGAAACATTAAAAAATAAAATCACATAGCTACGAATAAACATGAAAAACACATAAAAACAGTATTATTGATTAGTTGCGCCCTGCCCACACCGTGGAATGATGACACGAAATCAACCCAAACACTGAACCTGATTCCTCGATCCATGAGTCCCCTCGTACGACACTAGTAGTTTGCTGGAGGGCTATTTGAATCCATAATCCCCATTGGCGAGTCAGAGGACACACCCAGTTCTGTATATATCTGTTATCTTCTCGACTCTTATCTGCTATTATGTCTCAGTTGGAAATCAGTTACCACTTGAAGCGGCCATATAATATGATAGGCTAAATAACTTGCATTATCGATATCAACAATTAATTGAATTTTTTTATTTTACTTTAAGCCTTGGTGTGGAGCGAATCATGACACTTAACACAACACTGCACTGCATCAACCAAGAGTGCACCAACACGCATGCATCATGTATTCAGGGTAAGTGAGTGAGTTGTGTTTAACTCTGCTTTAATTTGTTTGCTTGTTGTTTAACTCAGAAATATTCCATCCACACGGAGGCTGCGCTGCTTTAAACAGTTTGTGTTACCTTAGTGAACCAAATAACAATAAATAAAGCGATAGAACCCTTTCCATATCCAATAGAAATCTCTGCATAAAACAGTCGATTGCACGATTTCGACTTTATCATGAACATGTGTTTATGAATCATTATCAGGTGTTCGCGAAAAGGTGAGTGTATCCTGCCCCACCGGTGGCACCCTTCACAAACACATGCAAAGGGAAGTCAGTTGTTCACCTGATAAACACGGGTATTTATGGTAGAAGTCAAAATAGGGATTTGCATCGGACATCATCTTTGTCGCTGATGCGTCAAATTTGGAAATGTATTTCTCATGTCTAACACTCGTAAAGCTTTTTGAAAGCTTTACTGAGGCCTTGAATGTTGTAACCTTGATCGTACAACTTCATAGCAAGAGTCGTATGACGCTCGTTGAAATCTTGATTGAAAGATCATGCTCGATTGTATCTCAAAAGGTGGGAAATGTAAACACCAAAGGATAGAGCTGCTGAAATATTGTTCCACATGAAGGGAAAGTTGACAGTTGGAAAGTTGAAGTCATCCCTCTTGTCATACAGTCCTTGTGTCCTTGTGGTTTTGGTCCAATATCAACGCTGCTTCAATAATGGAGCAAAACACACAAGGACACATGTCATAGATATTCACCACGGTGTCTGGTAGGCTCCATCTTCACGAGGCAAGAGAGTTAACTGACTACAAAAGTCCAGTTTCCACCCTTGCCGAACTTGGCTGGTATTATGGAGTTACAGTTTGGCTGAACTAACGAGTCTCTGCATAGTCCAATCAAAATCGCGCAACGAAATCGAAATCCGGTTTGTGAACTGTCATGCAGATTTCCGTCGATTGCAGGATTTACAAAGCATGTGCACCGCCAACTCGACCCATGAAGATCCGGGGTAGAATAGATCTTCAGCAACCCATGCTTGCCGTAAAAGGCGACTATGCTTGTCGTAAAAGGCGACATACGGGATCGGGTGGTCAGGCTCGCTGACTTGGTTGATGCATGTCATCGATCCCAATTGTGTGGATCGATGCTCATGATGTTAATCACTGGATTGTCTGGTCCAGACTCGATTATTTACTGACCGCCGTCATATAGTTGGAATATTGCTGAGTGCGAGCTCATTCATTTGGCGAATGACTACAGTAACATTAGGAGTAAGACATTGTATCATAAACAGTTCTGTATAACATCAACATTTGTAGATGGAATTTACATATTGAATTTATGATTTGCTGGTAATATATAATACTTTCCGTTAATATATTAGTTTCTGGTTTCACAATAATAATCACAATAAGTACAATTGATATTCATTTTCAACACAATGTGTGCCCCAAAATATACAAATCCGATGCTCAGTTGGCTCTCTACAATAACGCCCCGTTTCAATTCTAGGTTTGTGTGACCCACATCTAAATCGAGATGAAGAAATTCTAAACTTGTTAATTGGTGTCCTGCTTAAATATAATTCAAGTCCAGAAGAAGGTTTAAATAGTTAATATGAAATTATTTTTGAACTTTCAAATACAAAAGAATGCCATTTCTTGTTCATAACAGTATCTTAATCTAGACAGAAAGACACCCCGGGAAAATATCAACAGACTGGTGTTCCCACACAGAGCCAAATCTGGTAGAGCAAATTAAATGTTTAACCTTTGATACCCAATTCACTTGTCATAAGACAATTTTACATTTCTAGATTCCTCTAAGCATATTGTTTGTGTCCAAATTCACCATAGACGACGCCCCGCCGTGATATTGCTGGAATAATGCTATATGCGGCGTAAAACCGTACTCACTCACCATAGACGACATGATTTGGTGGTGATGATTTGACATGAAGAAAACGTTTACACGCTGTTAGATGCATAGATGATCAAAACTTTTGAAATGTACAATTTCTTAAATGTAATTATAAACTATGAAATATAATTTTTTGTTTCATGTATTATTAACATATTATATGTACATTTTCTTAATATCTATGATATCAAATTAACAAATCACATTATAGAATGTGAATTAAAATGTGAAGAAATCAATGCTCTTATTGTTTTTCTGTAACCTACTGTTGGACCAAACCATTTTAATATAGGAAACAGTTAGGGGTTTGGCAATCAGCCATGAAGTTTGTTGTTTTTTGACTGGTGGGACATCTGACTAATCGGAGGACACGAACTCACTCCATATAATGGAAGTCGAATGGTAAGAGTGACCAGTCATCGTACCCAACGCGTCAACCGTTGACGAACGCTTTCTTCCTCTACACGAGTAGACATAATTGTATTTGAGGTAAATCTATTGCCGAGATGAAACAATACAGCGGAAAATATGCGTCAAATCATCAACAATTCATATAATTCCCATTTTATTTATTGTGGTAGAAAAGTTCAAAGCGGCAGAAGCCGTAGACGATTACCAGTTTGCTGAAACCCACGGGCACTGGGAAGACTCCCCAAAAGCATCAAATTATAGTATATCCATTGAAACTAAAGGGCAAAATATCGGTGAAAATTATATGAATTTATCGTTTAAAATCAATGATGACACCAGGTGTTCGCGAAATGGGTAAGCATGTCCTGCCCTACCAGTAGCACCCACCACACACACAATTTGCATAAAACGTAAGTCTTTGTTTGTTGCCTGACGCCGCACAGAAGTACTTCCGCTATATGACGGCTGTCTGTAAACCCAAAGTAGAAAATTGTGTGACACTACATTTACTTAAGAAATACTAAAATCTCGCTTCTACATAATCTATGCCAGATGTTTTGTTGTACTGTTTCTTGAATTTCCTCACTGCTGATAGGAGTATCAGAAATATCTTAAGTGGCATATTTTATCCAATCTTTTATTCAATGTTCATTCATATATGTATTTTCATAAATAAATACACTTTGATCGTCTTCAACAGACATACAATCACTTCTTTTGGAAAGGCTGTACAGACTTTTAAAATAATCACACCAAGACACACATTTTATATTATTCACTGAATTAGTATTCCTGGTGAAATGAAATTAGGTTTGACGTCGCGTTCGACATTCAAGAAAATAGTTTGGACGCTTCACACTGTTACGTGACGATCCCCAAATTGAAACATTACGTTAACCCAGAAATCTATACATAAAAGAAATTAGTGTGAAACCAACCAACAAACAACAAATGGTGTACGATTAACAATTGTATTGCAAAATTAACTAGGTTTACAAATAAACACTGATTACTGTACATTAATTACAATGGCAGTACACAATAGAGTGGTAGTATATATTCAATATCAGTAAATAATATGATGGCAGTGGTCAGTATCAAATACAAAAACAGTGGTGATAATATATTCACCCAGAAGCGACAGTGGTCAAACTTCCGAGATGGCCATGGCTGGGAATCCGGGATGATAAGTTTCCTTCACACGAAAGCTGGTCTTGATTTTATGAAATGTGAAAAACACGAAAGGCTCTTGTCTTCTTATATACAGTCTAACTTGCCTCTGGAAATCACATCACAGAATATTCCAAATGTTTCTCTAACGCTCTATCTCAGTCCACGGTCTTCCGGAAATTTACACATCACACGAGCATCGAAAAATAGTAACTTTCTCACCACTGCTTACATTAAATAGTACTACAGCCTGACAACTAATCGTTGTCCAAATACAATGAGCTTCTTCCGAATCTCAACAGAAACAAAGTAATACAATTACAATCATTGTTTAACAATAAAATACACTGCCATATAACACAGTCAGCTGATCTTACCTGTAAACGTACTAATTCTTTTCTTAATATCACCTAAGACTACTTGTACAGCATCTTTAGATTTATCCATAAGTAAATAGCCTTTCAAAGAATATACCTGTTTTCTCATTCCATGAATACTTTGTAGTCAGTTTGTTATCTGAATTAAATTCTGCTTTTAGGTATGGTAGCTCACTTTCGTTGACAGATTAAATTATATCTGGAGGTGTTCTGATTCAGTTCTAGAGATAATGTTAAACATCGTCAAAAACCCAAGATGATGCAATTATAGTCAATCACACTACATCCGTTATGTCCAATGTATATAAAGTTACCTTTTCAGTGGGGCAGGGGTGGCCCAGTCGTCTAAGGCGCCGCGATTTGCCGTGCAGAGTTGCGTCCCTTGGGCACGCCAGAAACCTATGATTGTGGGTTCGAATCCCGGTTCCCGATGTTTCTAGGTTTGTCAAACCCAAACCCGTGCTCTAGGATTTCATCAAATGGTAAGCATTTGAAGCCTGCATTACTTGGGGCTTTCCTCCCACTTTTAGCTTACATGCCGTGATATAACTGGAATACTGCTCAAAGTGGCGTTCAACCCAACTCACTCATTCATGCACTTTTGCAGTATCACACAGCCCATATGAAATATGTTGATTCGTGAAACATCACATATCATTGTCAAGAAAACTCAGCTACGTTTATGGGACCCATCTGATGCGAGCATAGCTGGAACCGTAGACATAGTGTCTGAGTGGTTTCCAAGGGAAGAGGGGCACGGGTGGCCCAATCGTCTAAGGCGCCGTGATTCGCTGTGCAGAATTGCGTCCCCTGGGCGCGCAATAAAACCTATTGTGGGTTCGAATCCCGGTTCGCCCTGATTATGTTTCAAGGTTTGTCAGCATCATATTTGAAATTCACATTGTTGTCCTTAAATATTCCAACATCGCTTCGTTTTCAACTGTTAGTTTTATCAAGTCGGGTGCATGTGGAGGGATGTGTGGGAGATGGGGGTGGGGGTGGGGGTGGGAGGGGTGACCCTGTCGTGTCATGCGATGCAGGTCCCCTGATCGTGTATTCCGATTCCAGATTTGCCCTAATTATAAGAGAATGCATATTAAAATCTCCCTTTCTGTACAATGGGGTTTAACCCCACTTGTACTGATCAGACTGCTATTCAGATCCGGGTTAGAATAGGTCTTCAGCAAGATAAAAGTCATTTACTCGAAATCGGTGTAGTAGGCTCAAACGACTCCCCCTAAATTTGACTTTCGGTCATATGGGCCTAGGCTTAAATGACTCTACAGTCATCTCAGCCTGGGGAGTCATTTGAGCATCCTACACCGGCGGGGTACAGGTGGCCCAATCGTCTGGGGCGATGCTGGTCCTGTGATAATGGGACTCCAAGTCCAGATTCGCCCAAATGTGCCCAAACCAACCGGACGTTATGAGAAATCATTAAGATCAGTGAAACATCACAATATAACTATACATTACAAGAAAATGCAATACAATACAACACACTTTATGACACACAATGTAACTCATTGTGTTCATACACACACTTGAACCCATCCATGCAGACACAAACATAATCACACACATTACATACACTGGTCATTTCATTTCCCTTGTCACGAACACCTGGTGTCATGACTTTTTCAGGTATCCATTTCGTATATTTTCGCCGCTGTTTTGCTGTTTGCACCCAATGGAATCTCTTTCGGTTGAGACTGGTTGTTTAATATTTGCTTTGTTCATATCGCAGGTATCTATACATATTACAGTCAATGAGAAAATTTAATATATACTTCAGTGTGAAAAGTTTTCTGAGGTTGAGAAAAGTTATAATTTTATGAGTGCAGTGAACACTCAAACTTGATATTTCGCTGCAGTGAACATAACACTTTGACGGAACAAGTGACATACAAGAGTTACCTCCCCGCAAATTGTCTCCCTTGGTTGTAAGTGTCTGGCCCGTACACAAACTGTTGACTTTCCTGTTACGTTAGTGAGTGAGTATATGATTTTGGTTTTACGCCGCTTTTCGCAAATATTCCACGGCGGGGAACACCAGAAATGGGCTTCACAGATTGTACCCATGTCGGGAATCGAGCCCGGGGCTACCGCGTGACGAGCGAAAGCTTTAACCACTAGTTCCACTTTGACAAGATGCGTAGTTGCAGGCCGCCTCGTCGACGATGATAGAATATCTTTCTATATAAATTCTTACTTATTCTTGAACATAAGCTTCGAGTTTAGATGTATCGTCACGATTGTGTTAATTGTTTCCATCGAGATCATCTTTTAATTGTATACTGACAGAAGAGCCATAAAATGACAAATACGGATACATGAACTATACCCTGTCAAGACTTGCATCTATTCAAAACGTAAGTAACTGAATGACAACATCGTCGTTAATCCAGGGTATTATATACATTATATTCTGTTAAAGACCCTGGACCCATAACTCCGTTTTGAGCCCGATTCGACGCAATAGCAGTCGAATCAAAATACTTATAAAGGAGAGAAATTCTGGGCTCAGTGAGAGATAGAGATGGTGACGTCACTTCCGAAACAATGCTGAGGTGGCACATGGATCCAGATTATTTATGTAGATTGAGATATTATTCCTTGGATGCAATGTGACAATGAATGTATACACCTTTCGTCCATGACACGAACTTTATCTGATACCCGAACCCTGACATTACCGTCACCAGGGCCTGTGTTGACGAAACATCATTTGTAAACTGTAGAAGGCCTATACATATTTTATGTCTGTTTCAGTTACTTCCGGTCAAGTCTTTTGTTCGTATGAAGGCCACTGGCCCATATACAGGTAAATTATTTCTGAGGGATTCTTTAACGCAGAACTTGAAATCATACGCGCATTCTGACTGGTTTGTCGTATTTTCGCACATAACATTATAAATTATTATAGATAGGGGGACGAGCCTTATTGCAGGTTACGGAAAGGGGCGAGTGGTGACGAATGTGTGTCGATATCCCTGTATATGGCACTCTGCTCATGGCTAACTCTATCAAGATGATTAGCATGTCTGATATTGCGTTTTCTAGAGACGTACACTTATTACTAAGGTCAGTGAGAGGGGTTTTGATTGCTTTCATCTCGGTAAACAAAGACTGTCTTGTTCGAAAGTATGTTTCTACATGTTTTGTCATTCGAGTTTCCAAACGATTCTCAAAAAGGGGGGTTGGAATGCCATTCCTTTTTAAGTAATATTTTACAAACGGGAGCTCCAATGCAAATTATCAGGTAAATACACATCTCAAAAACTTCTTTAATACGTCTCTTTTAAAAATAAACTTCATCGTGTCTTCAACTCACAAACCATTAACACACAATGGGCAGATATCTGTGTGTATCTCTGCATACCTATTTGACCAGCTGTCCAGAAAGCTGTCTTTCCCATTTATATCACTGCCCCAGTTTCTCTGCCCTAACTTCACTTCCAGCACTTCAGTTCTAGCTTGAAGCTGAAACCATGAGGTGTCTTATTATCGCAGCCCCTTGTCTGGTTACTTTATGTAGGCCTTCATGTTTACTTTAAAATAACGATAAACTAATGTATCTTAATTTTCAGTAAATGTTTACAAACATTTTTTTCTGCAAATTGTGCTTTGTAGAGCAGCACTAGCTTACCCTTTTTGCGAACACCCGGTATCATCACCGGTGTTCAATTATCCATTCATATAAATTTCACCACTAATTTGCTTTGTACGTGCAATGGTATCTGTATTGGAATAGATATTCTCTATTGTTGATGTTTTATCTATCTACCAAAGTACGGCCGAAAAATCGTGAAAGTTAAATATTTCCTTGTAGCTATCTATATGACTATCTATGTAGCTATTTATATTTACTTAACATAAACTGTTCTCAAGTACCAGTGTTAGTGATTAGAAGTGAAATTAATTAGTTATAAAGGATGACGAAATGCCATTGATAGTATCGATACAAATATTATGAAACATTACCGTTCGTCATCATTTTGTGTCGACAATGCACCTTGTTTGAATAGACATGTGAGGGTACATTGAGAACATTGTCAGACAATCAGCGTTACCCCGCTTAATAATGGGAAGGAATATGTACACGCGTTACAGTATTATAAAGTTTGTACCACTACAACAGTAAAGCTATATCTGAACCACTATTACAATAGTAGGGTAAACTACGGTTATAACGAACGCAAAGGGATCACTAAGTTTAGTTCGTTATAACCGTAGTTCGTTATAATCATATATACAGCATATATAAAGCAAATGTTTGGACCAAAAAAAAGTTCCTTATATCCGTCAGTTCGTTATAAGCGTGTTCGTTATAAACGTATAGTTATACAGTATTATATTAATAGCAATAGTGTTTTAACCATTGCAATACCATTGTATCAGTACAGTGCCCCTATAGTCACCCCTATTGGCCATGATGTTGGGGAACGGCATACTATCTTATACCACCCAGGGAACATTCAGTTTGCGAAAACAGAATGGGGAATTTGATAAACCGTTGGCAATGAATATCCAACCAATATTTCGATCAACAATGTTGTGATTCAAACTCGATTTTGACATGTGAATGGTTGTCAAACGTATGTTGGTTGCTTTCAGTCAATCAGATACTGCGTAATATGGCGTCAACCTTTGAAAGGAATGAAGAGAGGCTATGCAACAACAACACGCCTTTGTAGTGTGAAAATACAAGTTGGCAATCTGTGTTCTTCTGTTGTCCGCGTGAAGCCGCCTATACAATAAAGTCACATTGCAAGTTGTAGCAGGATCACGAGGGATTTATTCTGCCTCTCAGAAATCCACGTGCAGCCTGTTTTGCTCTTGGTGGGGTTTAAGATATTTATTCCCCGCTTAGAAAGTTATTGTTATTACCCTGCAAGGCGGGTTACACAGTATTTAATCAAGATCACGTGGATCAATCACATCCTCATCACTCTAACATGGAGGTATGATAAGTGGTTTTCCGCGTTAGCCACGCTCGTGGTATAAAACTTGACACGGGACGCATAAAACCACATACGCCCTCGTGATACTGCTACAACGAATTTACCTTATCGACATGTTTTAATAGGACATTGTGAAAGGATTAAACCAAACTCACAATTGATAGAAAACAGCTGTTCGATTGCTGTGCCAGGTGACTTTCATTGATTCTGTTACGTGTAGATTCCCAAATTGAAACAATATGTTAACCCAGAAATCTGTACGTAAAGGAACTTAGTGTGAAACGAACAAACAACCAACAAGCGGTATACAATCAACAAATGTACTATAACATAAACTAGGTTTACAAATCAAAACAATTACTGCACAGCAATTACATTGGCAGTACACAATAGGGCGATAATACAATACTCACTGACAGTATATAATATGATGGCAGTGGTCAGTATCAAATACAGTAGTGATAGCACAAGTCAGTGATAATATATATAGCCAGCAGTGACAGTGGTCAAGCTTCCATTATGGGTTAGGATAATGAGCGATCCTCACTTGGAAGCTGGTTCCGATATGATGAAATTGCATGAAAGATTCGTAAACACGCTATTGTTGTCCCCTTATATACTACCACCGAGAAAGTTCCCTCGCTAGTCCTTCGGCATTAGAACATTAAAGTATTTTCCATAACATACTATCACCGTCCTGGGTATACCGGCCTGGAAGTTTACACACCACACTGGCATCTAACTTCCTGACGACTGATCACTGCCTAAACACAACGCAATGAGCGTCTACGGAATCTCAACAGAAACAATGTCACACATTTCCAATCATTGTTAAACAATAAATACACTGTCATATTCGGAAATAGCGAGGTATACGGGATTGATTCCTCCTCTCAGAAATCCACATACAGCCTGTCTTGTTCGTGGCGGGATATGAGGGATTTATTCCCCCGATAAAGAAATTGTTTCCCTCCAAGGTGGGATACATAGTATTTTATCAAGATCACGTGAACCAATCAGATTTCATCATTCTGACATGGAGGTATGATAAATGTTTTTTGTAGCCCTGGTTGATGCCGAGGGATGCCAAGGCCATGATACCAGCACCTGCAGGCATGAAAGCTGCGACGCCCTCTCGACCTTGACTTGTGTGAGGGGAACCTGCACGTGCCTGGTGTCCAGCTGTGGAACCCATCCAGGTAAAGTGATTAAAATCGTCTTTGTGTTTAACATCTCTTTTGTGTTTAATATCTCATTTGTGATTAACATCTTATTTGTGTTTAACATCTCATTTGTGTTTAACATGTTCTTTGTGTTTAACATCCCATTTGTGTTTAACACCTCATTTGTGGTTAATATCTCACTTGTGTTTAATATATCATTTGTGTTTAACATGTTCTTTGTGTTTAGCATCCCACTTGTGTTTAATATCTCATTTGCGTTTAACATCTCATTTGTGTTTAACACCTCATTTGTGTTTAATATCTCACTTGTGTTTAATATACCATTTATGTTTAACATGTTCTTTGTGTTTAACATCCCACTTGTGTTTAATATCTCATTTGCGTTTAACATCTCATTTGTGTTTAACACCTCATTTGTGTTTAATATCTCACTTGTGTTTAATATACCATTTGCGTTTAACATGTTTTTGTGTTTAACAGCTCATTTGTGTTTAACAGCTCATTTGTGTTTAATATCTCACTTGTGTGTCTCACATGTGTATAGTGATTAACATCGTCTTTGTGTTTAACATGTGTTTAATATCTCATTTGTGTTTAACACCTCATTTGTGTTTAATATCTCACTTGTGTTTAATATATCATTTGTGTTTAACATATTCTTTGTGTTTAACATCCCACTTGTGTTTAATATCTCATTTGCGTTTAACATCTCATTTGTGTTTAACACCTCATTTGTGTTTAATATCTCACTTGTGTTTAATATATCATTTGTGTTTGACATGTTCTTTGTGTTTAACATCTCATTTGTGTTTAATATCTCACTTATGTCTCATTTACTGCCGGTCCTGCCTTACCGTCTCTTTAAAACAATTATGTAAAGGGACTTCACATTAACCGAGTTGTATTGAGGTCTGCTACAAAATGGCGTCGGCATTTGAGAGAAGTGTTAGCGCGTGTGTTTGTTTGATACCGCACTATATGGACTATGGCTCTGTAAATAATTGAGTCTGGTCTAGACAATCCTGTGACTGACATCATGAGCATCGATCCCGCAATTGGTAAGCGATGACATGCAGTCAACCAAATCATCAAGACTGACCACCTGGTGCGTTTAGTCGCTTCTTACGACAACCTAAGATTGCTGGGAACCTATATTCTTACCCGGATATTTATCGTGTGAAAACATTAGTTGGCAAACATTAAGGAGATTATGTTTGCAAAGTAATGTTGCCCATGTGAGGCCGTCTTAGAGTAAGTGAGGAACATGCATTCAGAATACTTATGTGTATTGGTTTTTTGTTGTTTTTTGTTTGTTTGTTTACTTGTTTGTTTTTTGTTTAACGCCGCACTCAGCAATATTCCAGATATATGATGGCGGTCTGTAAATAATCGAGTTTGGACCAGGCAATCCAGTGATTGACATCATGGAGCATCGATCCACGCAATTGAGATCGATGACATGCATCAACCAAGTCAGCGAGCCTGACCACCCGATCCGATTAGTCGCCTCTTACGACAAGCATAGTCGCATTTTGCGGCGAGCATGGGTTGCTGAAGACCTGTTCTAACCCGGATCTTCACGGGTCTGTTTCTGTTAGCATATACACGCCCGCGTATACACGTAATTAAATGTCCCGATTGGTAATTGCTTTGAATATTACCTGCTTCCAAGTACTATCCACTTTTCGTTTGATAGAGGGATGCCATACCTCCGCAAATCACTGCAGACACTATGCTAACCAACATAACTGCCCATGTGACCACTCCTGGCACTGCATCGACAGCAGTTGCCAGTGCGGGTATCCCGGGTAACGTTTCTGTCGACCTACCTATCCATCAATCATCCATTTATCCATCATCCATCCCCCACCAACCATACATCTGTCCATCCAACTTTCCATCGTCCATCCATCAAACCGATCACCAACTCCCTTGATCATCAATGATGTATCTGTCCATCCCTCACCCGTTCCAACATCCATCCATCCGTCCATCTACCCACCTACCCATCCATCTGTCCATCCATAACCCTTTCCAACATCCATCCATCCGTCCTTCTACCCACCTACCCATCCATCTGTCCATCCATCACCCGTTCCAACATCCATCCATCCGTCCTTCTACCTACCTACCCATCCATCGGTCAATCCATCACCCGTTCCAACATCCATCCATCCGTTCATCTACCCACCTACCCATCCATCTGTCCATCCATCACCCATTCCCACATCCTTCAACTGATCGATCCATCCACCATCCTCCCATCCATCCATCATCAACTATTCCCAACCATTCATCCGTCCATCTACCCACACACTCATCTGTCCATCCTCCAATCCATGCATCATCATCATCATCATCATCATCATTCGGGGCGATCGGGAACCCTAGTGGTTAAAGCGTTCACTCGTCATGCCGAAGACCCGGGTTCAATTCCCGACATGAGTACAATGTGTGAAGCCCATTTCTGGTGTCCCCTGCCATGATATTGCTGGAATATTGCTAAAAGCGGTGTAAATCCATACTCACTCACTCACGCATCTTCATCATCCATCAGTCCGGCCACACCCTCCTTCGTCCACCTTATCATCTCCGCCATCTATAAATCCTTAAAATATTTCTCTGTCTAAAAGGAACCAAACACACAAAAATGAAGCCACAAATCAGTGTGACGTTAATGACAATAGCTTAACTATAATGACAAATACATGTAATGCATAAACTTCCACCTCTGAAATACTTTACTATCCCCACATCTCCATGGTCAGAAAAAGATCATATATATTATGTTATTTGTGATGAAATACTATATTTATCAGAAGATATGAAAACAATCTTGAAGGAGATTACAGTAAACTATAAATATGTGATAAAATCATTTATAAAGCATTTAAGACAAGTATCTGGAAGACACTAATTCGAAAGGCAATATTAGCGACAAAAAGTTTATTTAACTTCTTTAAATCTGCCTAAGTGGAATTGTGGTTTTAAGAATACGACCATGAAGATCAGAGGTAATAAATAAAACATGTGTCTTTTCATGTTGATACATAAGAATAATATTTGACAAGAAAAGTCAAATATTCTCTTTCATATGCATGATCCAACCATCTGACCCTTGTGTTTCAGCACCTAAAGGTAGACATCTGGATTCAGTACACGTGGTCCTCAGAGTGATGGCGATGTTTCACGTTCTTGGAGACATCATTCATAAACTCAGTTCCACTACCTCTTGTCCTTTTAATTCATTTATGTAACAATAATTAAATTTTCGTTGTGTTCATCGAAATTCCTGCATTCTGATTGGCGGAATTGGTCACGTGTTTTTGCATTCATTTAATGATTCATACAGTTTCCACATCGGTTTTTCGATTCATACCTAAAAAACCCGAACCAAATACACAGTCAGTCCTAAATACAACCCTGATGGATAAGATATAGCTCGTGACGGATGTTACCCGCCTTACTCGACCTCGTATTTCATCTGAAGGCCGCCGTGATATTGCTGGAATATTGCTAAAAGCTGCGTAAAACCCATCACTCACTCACTCATTTGAAGGATCGACCATTTAATTTTCATACGTTAGGGGTGGTGGGGAATTAAAGCCATTCGCACAATTAAAATTCATCACACACCAATCTAACTGCAGTTAAGAAGAGTTTATTAATTCCACACTAAGAATAATTCATTACCCGCAATACTGGCTTACATAATAATAACAAAGGGCATCCTAGCAATAATGTCGGCAAAACAATGGAATTATTAAAACACAAAGTCATAGTCACCAGGGGTATGATTCTTAAAAAAGAGCAGCAAGATACATATAGTTACTACCGGGGCCATACAACTATATATCCTTCATATAGCATTATGACCCCGGTAGTGACCACATACATGTATATCTTGCTGCCCATTATAAAGTTACAAGCCCATCTGGTTTAACCTGCATTATAACCCTACGACAGGTTTATTCTCTTGTTGGTTGTCTCTTCAAAACGTGTCAAACCCACTTTGTAGGTTTTCCCTCCTGAAGACCCTGGGACATGGGTTTGCCATTGATACTTTTGTGGTGTTTCTTCAGAATGTACCTCGTTGGAAATATACAATGTATTTAGGAGATAAATATTCGTTTTGTAAGATTTGCGTGATGTTATGCTGAATGGATGTACGGAAATTTCATTTGAACAAGACGCCGTAATGGATGTACGGAAATTTCATTTGAACACGACGCCGTAAGGTGGAATGTTCAAATGAAAAACTTCCGTACATCCATTCAGCATAACATCACGCAAATCTTACAAAACGAAATATTTATCGACATTATAACATGAACGTTAATTAAATCGATATTTAGGAGGAACTAATTTACTGAGCGCATGACACAACAAAACTGTCGTTAGCAATACGTCTCCTCGTGCTCACCTTCGAAAGGATGCATGATATGGGGTGCCGCGAAACCGATGAATGGTTTCGAGGTACTCCAATAATGATGGTTCATTTTACGTAAGGGGTGGCCACATGTTCAAGCCCATTTCTCAGAAAATAAACAAACAACAGGAAATATCACAAATTCAATTCTTTATCACAGTTCCTCATCTTACTTGTAATTTGTAGTTATGCGTATCTATAAAATACAAATAATCAAAATTAGAAAAGACGTTCATACTGTTTTGCCCCTATACAAGACAGTGTCAACTCGCTGAGGTAGTGACAAGAGAGGTCAAACATGTGCGAGATTTTAGATATGCAGCTTAGCTGGGATGGAAAAAGTTGTTTACTGTCACAGTGGAATTACATATGTGAAAGAGACCATGGGAATTAGCAGAAGAATTAACCTAGAAGTTATTCACGGGAGCAGTGGACAGTGGCAGGATATTTGTATCTTGGACAGGTACCAAATTACGGTTGTTAGTGAGCTGCTGCTGTCCCTGAAGAATGTTCAAATAATGTCGTTTTTGAGCCGAGCTCGAGTCAATGGAATACGACTTCAACGATTTATCGGTTTTGTGGCCGGTAATTTTGCAAATCTCGCGATTTTCAATGCCTGCGTTTGACAGCAAAGTAACAGCAGTTGCCCGAAGACAATGGTTTGTATGTGCACTTTGAGACCAGCGTTGGTAGAAATTTCTTTCATCATGTTGCCAATGACATTTACACCAACTGGCCTCGTGGTGTACCATTCGGTGTCGTCGACGTGGACTCGTCTCTTGGGAGCCTGGTGAAAAGCACCATTGTTGGGATTGAGGAGAGACATGTATTTTTTGAATGAAAGTACGGGACAGAATTGGTCCGATGTTGCATAAATGCGTTTGTTGGGCCCATTTGAGTCGAGTGTAAGGTCGAACCACACTTTACGAAGCAAGCCGGAAGGAGTTTCCGTATCCAAACTTTCACGGATTTTTAAAAAGTCATTCTCGGGGATAGCAGCATGATGTGTTGTCTGGTCAAGGCCATCGCGCTTAAGTTTTTTTATCATGAACAGAAAAACATTGTTTGCAGTGTGAAATTCCCGGTCTTGGATAATGTTTATGCTGCCCTCAAATGGCGGTCCCCTGATGTGCCTGTGTATGGCAGCACGCAACCCAACAAAACTCGATTTTGAGTAAAGATCTCCCTCAGCATTTCTGACTTCGGCATAAAAGAACCTCAGTCTCTCATTCAGTTGAGAAGCAGGAAGCTCTTCGAACTTGGGTTCATGGCAATGGTGTAAGGGAGGTAACTCTCGTTGATCGAATCTGTGTAGGAATTTTAGGTATGTGTTTATGTATTCTTTAATGTTTCAATGGCTTACGTCGAAATATTTTAACTCCCCAGGAGGTATTACGCCAAGTAGATTTGGAGAGGTTCCCATCCACGATGTCCTGTACTGCATTTGCATCAAGGGACGCGAAGCGGTCACTGGACGCTTGAACTTTGGGCTCTAAGGAAACGCTGGCTGTATTTCCTAGTTCAGGGGCCATCTCAGAACGGTTTTCAGCTTCAACAGCTGTTGTGAGTAATAATAATAACAAAATTAGGTGGGTGTATGAAAGTCATAACTATTATATAGTTGCAATTGATGGTTTTTACTCTGTTAAAAAATGATTTTCTTTTCTTTTCCCTTTGGCCAAGTCCAAGAAAATGACATCATTTATGATTATGATTGGGAAATTAATGAAAAAAGGTAAATTTCATTTACCTTCAAATTCTTGAATTATCTCAGAAAATGTCTCGTCGTCCCAATCACTCAATATTTCATCGAAATATCCGATGTGGAAGTCAGGGTAAATTTCCATCTGTTCCTCCATGTTGATGATTTCAAAAATAGTTCCATTAATTAATGTATACATACACGGTGATGAGACCCCAAAAATTCAGTGATGTTATGCTCATTCGACAACACTTTTTAACCAATCAGATCAGAGTACATACCTACTTTTATGTTACAATTTGCATTTGAACACAATCTACATAACACAAATTGCAGCGCTAACTTGAGGAAATGTGCGGAATGATTTTATTTCTATTTAAGTGGGATCTAACATGCAAACGTCGTACTTGTAGCCTATTGAGTGAACCATTAAGCTACAGAGACGCTGATAAACCGCAATTCTTTTAAAGAACCTCTTTTCCAGGTTCATGTACGCCAGCAAGGGATATTTTACGTCCGTTTCCTATAATGGTTCATATATAGTTCAAACATAAAATTGATGATAAGTGTTGTTCAGATTTTTCTTTCGGATCATAAGTCAGATAATACATCCCCCTCTGGCTTTGTTGAGAAAGTCATCATGGGAAAGAAAACACGAATGCCGAAAGTTTTATAGAGGTTATCACGCGAGTGTGTTTGGGGATGGTAAATATCCTGCATTAGGAATAAACATTGTATTTAGCGAGCCTTGGCAGGCTAAATACATAGTGTTTATTCCTAATACAGGATATTTACCATCCCCAAACACACAAGCGTGATAACCTCTTTATCACATAATGTCATTCTTTAATTCTGTGCTTGAAAATCGCTTTCCCTCTCTCACAAACATCACCGAAACATTGCGAGTTTTCCTGGAATGCGCGCATTAATATTTATTACGTCACAGGGTAAGTGATGTGTCAATCGGACAGTGACAGTAGCCAATATAGTTCCAACTGAAATCTCTTTCTTATACAGTGGCGAAGCAACATATACGCAAAACAACAATTGTTTTTAATTGCCTTTCGCGGCAATCCATCGGTCTGTCTGCTAGAGTAACTGCCCTTTGTCAAAGGGAAGCTACTCTAACCCTAGTCTATGAGACGTCACGGCCACGATCAGACGTTGTTGACAGTCGGTCTGTCCTGTCATAACGTTAAGAAGTCTAGTCAGATGTACACACAGTGACAAAACGAAACAGGGTAACAATTCAAACATATTTCGGCCAAATCCAAGTATTTTAATTTGTGGAGAAAGGTTCAAGCCGCAGAGGTCTACAAAGATATGGCTACTGATCACGCTCGTGCCCTCGCAAAATTGTTTCGAAATTTATACCTCCAAAGTTGCCAAAACGTATAAAATGCCTTAGCTACGTCACAGTAAGACACTGATTTTCAGTACATAAGACTGTTCTTTTGATAATGAAAGCAGTTATCTCTGTAGTTTATCCAGATTCCCGATGGTTAAATCTGACTCGATCGCCGAATGACGAGGGCGACGCCATGTTTGTTTATAAACAGTGAAAGTAGTCCCTACTTGACCTTTGATATTTGCATCTCTATCCGCATATGACCCCAACGGAAATCGTTTTTATCCGTTGGCTTTATCCTGTCGAGAAACCTACCCATTATATGATAAAACACAATAACTGTTTGTTGGACATTCCTTCCGCATTAGGCTGGGATATAACGGGAATACTGTTCAAAACGGCGTTAAACCCAACTCACTCACTCACTTTCAGCATTTCAAAGGGATTTAGTGACAAAAAAGATGTCAAAAGACCCACGAGCATAATACAGAATAAATGGGTGGGGTAAGGTGAAATGGAATTTAATAATGCCTTCAGGAGTTTCACAATTACATAATGACGTGCATGCACACAAGGCAGGGTAACAACAAGTACCATTTTTGTGGTTTGACACAGTCGGGACCGATGCACCGACTTTCCGTTTTCTGCTAGACGATGGAGGAGGTCACAGTATTAATGGAAACCAGAGGCTGGATGTATGTTTATCATATGTTAATAATGGCTGATGATGTGAAATGACTTTGATGAATGTATTAGCCTTGTTTATACAGATACGGACGGTGGCGATCCCATGGTGTCGTATGCTGTGTCGTAAGCGGTGACTATGTGGATTGGGTGGTCACGATGCCCCTGTATCCTGGCGGCTTGGGACGTTGTTCATAATATTAATCATTGGTTTTGTCCATCCATCTTTGGAATCGAAACGTGATTTTCCGTGTGCCGAGAGAACGCTAATACTACTCTTAAAAAAACGTACACGGTGACCCAACGATGTGCGTCGGTGATACATTACAGTGCACATGTTATATAACATGAGGTCATAGCATAGTCCATCTGCTCAGGTGTCAACGACTGATACAATCAAGGATTATTCACTAATGTGAATCACACACCACACACAACATACCCTTTACACGAGCAAACTTAAAATATTTTTTTATCTTTTTCTTTAAATACCACAATCTGATCTGGTATGATAAGACGTCAGAGGGTCGCCAGGGACATGCCACGGTGACGTCAGCTGACATAGCGGAGTTTGATCTCAACAGTGAGTGAGTGAGTGAGTTGGGTTTAACGCTGCTTTTAACAGTATTCCAGTTATATCGCGGTGTGTCAGCTTAATGTCGGAGGAAAGCCCGAAGTGATATGCAGGTCTCAGACGTTTACCACTTCGGTGAAACCCACGAGCACGGGTATGGTGCTGACAAACCTAGACACATAATCGGGGCGAACCGGGATTCGAATCCAAAATTGGATTTTTTGGGTTGCCCCATATCTTTAACTATTTGGAATGTCATAATGATTAAGGAATTGTCCTCTGTCGCTTTTATTTACAATATTTTCGAAACGCCAGGGTTTATGAAACAATCTTTTGTATCCCAGCAATGTTGTCACTAAGGTTTACAGTCCCGTGAAGATTCCGGGGTCTTCAGCAAACCATGCTTGCCGTAAAAAGGTGACTATGCTTGTCGTAAAAGGCGACTACCGGGATCGGATGGTTAGGCTCGCTGACTTGATTCAGGTCATCGATCCCAAATGCGTGGATCGATGCTCATGATGTTAATCACTGGATTGTCTGGTCCAGACTCGATTATTTACAGACCGCCGTCATACAGCTGGAATAATGTTGAGTGTGGCGTTAAACAACAAACCAACCAACCAATCGAAGGTTTACTTACACCATTGGGGCATGTGTCGAGTATGAAGCAGACAGATCATCGGTTGATCAATCAACTAATCCACCGGGCCTGTCCACCCAATTCATGTAGTCCCTTTGAGGGTCGCGACTGTATGAAAAGCTACGTCACGTAAATCTAGCCAATCCAGATCCAAAAATTGTATCTTGAGCTGACGAGGATAGGCTAGAAACACGGAATAACCACAGGGTGTTCTCCATAGGTATAAGCAGGTAACGCATCAATTCAATAAGAGTAAACATATTCAGCATCAAAACAAACCAGTAAATGGTAGTAGTAGGTTTATTTCACATGTGTACATGTATGTATCCAACAAGGTAGGAATTAATTTCCATGGGTTTTCCTCCTTTCAGGATTTAATTACCTCTGAAATTAGAAATAAGAAATTGAATAGCTCAAGTTCAACCAAGTTCAATCTTATTATATGGATCAGAGGTCTGGAGTTTTGGAACCTATTACAATATTGAAAAGGTGCGCTTAACTGCATGGAAAATATTTCTAAATGTTTCTAAATCGGCTCCAAATCATATGGTCTATGGCGAATGTGGTAGATACCCGTTATATATTTGTTCATATTTACGTTTACTCAGATAATGGCTCAAAATAACAGAGATGTCGCGGGAACGAATCCCAAGAAAATGCTACGAAATGCTTGTCTATCGTGATAGTGTTGGTTACGTAACCTGGGCATCAAACATTAAGCATTTACTCTTCTCTCACGGATTTGGATATTTTTTTTTTAATCAAAGCGTTGGCGACAAAATGTATTTTCTTAGCTCTTTTAAGCAGGTAGCAATTGATATGGAGGTCGTCACTAGATAACAGTACACGCTACGACGTCTATAAAACCTTTAAATATTGTCTAACACCAGAGGTTTACCTACATACTATAACAGAGAGAAAAATTAGAGACGCATTTATTAAACTTAGGCTAGGGTTAAATGATTTGATGTGCAACAGGGGTCGCTTCTCAACAAACAAACAAACAGGACTGATATAGTGTTTCTATATGTCGAATGATTTAAGTATTACCACTGAAATGAGATGAGACAAATATGCATGCCATACAAAGACGACTGTGTATGTTTTACAAACAAATGCACGACTAAAATCATATTCCTAATATTGTGTTTCACCAACATTCTGAACCAACTCCATCAAAGCGTTGACGTCCCAAATCACATTCAGGCTAAATTTAGACATTTGCCCCTGACATAAAACCAAACAAGCATAAAAAGCAAACAAATTCATCAACTTTCTTTCGACAGTAATTAAGTCAATGAAACGTAAAACTGATTCAAGTGTATCAACCAAAACTATGCCCGACAACCTCCGGCTGTAACTATGGTTACTTACACGCCAGGTCCACCAGGGCCGACCTGTGCACCACGTCCACATAGGCAGTGGCCGTCGAAGCAGTGGCGTTCGTCATGGGTGTCTCTACAGATGCAGCTGTCGCAGTCAGGACGGTCTCTGCAAGTTTCTGAAATATAAACCTCCTTCTTAACAACAAAGGACAAAACATTTGTCAGAGGTTTGAACTAGATTCCATCATTCATTTGATGCAGGCTTGTATTTAAAGGGCATGTCTTATTTGCAGTTTTTTGCCAGGGTTTTGCTGACGCTGTGTTAGTAGTGGGTTTTTATCACAGTTTCGCCATAATTGGGTGTTTTGTATTGCCAATGGTTTCAACAAAATGGTAATCATCTTTGTTCTGTATCATATTTGTCGTTCCTTCTACATTTGTCTAAAACATTATATCAGCGGCGTGAAACCCAATTTGTTTATTGACTTATAGTCACCACCTTTTCTTGTAGGAGAACCTTTTCAGATGCTTAAGTAAAACGTTCACATGTGAAATTTGTTGCCTGCAGTTATTATGGTCACTATTTTGTAAACTGACTTACCTGTGACGCAGCTATTGGCCGCAACCAGACAGGTACATAAGTTATGAGAGCAGGCAAGCCTTCCGGTACTATCACATAACGTGTGAATACAGTCGTTGTCATCCCTGCAGGGCTCGCTGTCGATCACAGCTGAACGAAAGAAACAATATCTCATTAAAAGTTGGGGCACGTGATCCTGTTTGCAGGTCACAGGTCAAGGCTTTAAGCACAGTTTGTGGAAGAAAGCAATTGGATGGCTGAGCGTGTTTGGCAGCCTTGATTCCTAAGAGTTTCTTGGACCTGCCCAACACTGTAGCCCAAGTAGTACATGTGGTGTTTTCCAAAGGCAAGTGCCTTTGTTCGAAACATGCCTCTGTTCACTCAGCAGTGATTGGGTTCCCCTTTCGGTGAGGTGGTTATGAGACTATTAGTCTTCTAGTGCCTCATAGGCAGATCAGGTTATATATTCCCCAGGGAAATGAGTGCACACGGATTTATTTCCCGGAGACATAATAGAACGCATTGATATCCAGCATGGAAAAAGGCGCAATGCAAATTAATAATATTATCTATGAATAATATGAACTATTATCATTATAAAAATACATGTACATAACAAATCTCATCGGCTAACGTAGACACTAACTAAACTATAAAAGCCGTTAGTATCTTCAACTCACCAATAATGGTGCTGACAATGACGAGAACCAGTGTTACTTTCATGTCTGGAGTTAAGCGAAAAGCTTTGAAAGTAAAGTCTTCATTTGGTTGATCCTCTTATATACTTTCTGTTTCAAATGATACCAACACCAACCCTGTCAGCCAGTCACGATGTTGTGATTCTGCGCACAGCAGGTGCACGCAGGGCGTATGTTCCCGTGCGCGGTTATGTCATGAAATGTAGAAAACAGGTTCATTTGTGGGAATCTGATGACCCACGATAGCTATGTAGTCATGTTCAAGATCCTACAAATATATAGACAACACGATTTTATATATAAGAAATATATATAAAAAGAAAGTCACGGAATAATAACACGAATTGTTCTACATGTTTCAATTGTATCTGACCACCTCCGTGGTCTATTGGTAGAGCGTCCGCCCGGAGAGCGGGAGGTCCGGGGTTCGATCCCCGGCCGCGTCATACCAAAAGACGTTTAAAGATGGTACGTTTTGTTACCCTGTCTGGCGCTCGGCATTAAGGGGCTAAAACAAGGACTGGTCGGCTCGGAGTCAGTATACTGTGTCTGAGTGGGGTATTCATGTTAAACTGCGGCATGGTATCTCAGTGAGCTAGCACTATAAATCGGCATCAGTCCGGACTAGTACAAGCAGCCACACAAACACACCCACGTACATGCACGTCGCTATATAAGTGCAATAATCTTGGACGCGACGTTAAACCCCATTTCACCTCACCTTCAATTGTATCTTCAGGGAGAAGTGATTACAGTTATAACACCGCGGCTTTACAATGACAGTGGTAACATTCACAATAAATACAAATATAGTTCATATACCATGCGCTACTTATTTAAAGATGGGCACAACCTTTTAATGAAAACAATTTTTTATCTTTACACTGCTGGGGGTCAGCAGTATTCATTTTACAGAAAGGGTATATCTTAAATTCTATTTCTTTTCCTGCTGCGCATTTGTCGAGCGCTTAAGGGATGAACCTTGCATGGGGTCCTTTATCTGTTTATGGACGCCCATTCTGTCTCTCAAGCACTCCGTTTGTCCAATATGTTGTACATGACATCCTTGGCGTACAATAACATAAATAATATATTACAGTCCATGTTAGAGCGTACATGAAATTGTTGCTTCCTGTTTTTGAATTTTATTCAAGAATTTTCAACAATATATTAACATATTTTTTTTAGTTTCAACAAAATCAGTAAATGCTTTATCGTGTTATTGGATTTCTGACCTTCACTTGACAGTCTGGTTTGTTTACATGACGCTTTGCATGACAGGGGAATTGCTGTGCAGTGTCAGGCAACAAATACATACTTTTTTTGCAAATTGTGGCGTATGCTACTGATAGGGCAGGACGTGCTTGTCCTTTTCGCGAACACCTGGTGTCATCCATGATTTCAATGATCCATTTTTATCAAAATATTCCACTAGTTTGCTTTTTACACCCAGTGGTATCTGTTTAGTGGGATAATCGAGAGTGATTATTCTCCTGCGTTGACGATTTTATTTCCTGGCTATTAATGCAGAAAATAATTCAAAATATTTGAATGTCGATGCTGACAGCAACTTGTTTTAAGTTTCTGTCTTTGCTGATAGTATAAAATTGTGAATATCTTTCCAGGTGAGCTCTTATTATCAAAACAAAAACCCATCTTAGTAGAAACAAAACTAAGAATTAAATTTGATCACCAAACAGTAGCTATCCCACTCGCATATATCATGATGCCATATTTGTCAGACATTTTCCACATTTAACCTACTCGAATCCTGTTATATTTCTTTAAAACCCGGTGGTTTCGGGAAACACAAATCAATCACAATGTATGGTTCTTCTTCATAGTTTACAAAAAGCGGTGGTAAGTATTAGATGAATGTTCTTTTCCTCCACTGAAATGTAAACAAATGTGTGATTAGAACACGGAAGACATAAAGACAAGATTGGCAAGATATAAATTATCAACAAATATTAGACTAAAGAAGTAGGATTGTACGATTCCGACTTTATCATGAGCATGTGTCTTTGAATCACCATAAAAAAGTGATGATATCCGCTGTTCGCGAAAAGTTGAGCGTATCCTTCACCACCGGTGGAACCCGTCACATATCCAACACAAAGGCAAGTCAATTGTTCATCTAAAAAAACCGGAAACATATGACACAAGCCCAAATATGGAATTGCCTTTTGCGTCACTATTTGTCACTGATGCATCAAGATTGGAAATGCACTCTACTATAACACCTTTTC